TATGCGAAGGGTGTCCAATGCTCGAGTTCTTCATACGTATCTTGGAACTTGATCGGGACTAGAGTGTCTGACTCCTTGATGCTGACAGGTCGGCCCTGATACAGGCTCTGGATTTTGTCGATGACTGCACTTTCGATTAGCGATGTCAATCTACGTGCAACGATGATGCTCACCAAATGCAGCCCAGAAGACGCGCCTCCGGATTTCGTAGTCTTCGTCAGACAATCGGCGACTGCCTGCTAGGTGTGGGGTATCCACGTGGATACCAAGATCAACTATCATACGAAATGCCAGGCCTGCATAAATCCATGCAGCGCTGCGTTCGTCCCCTAGGGCGAAGAGTGAGTTAGTCATGACTAGCATAGCTTGGATCGTCGTGATTTCGCTTCTGTCCAGAGAGCTGCCTAGAAGCTCACGCACTCTTTCACGAAACTGCCAGCCAGCAGTGCGTACGTCGTCTGCTACTCGGCGGACTTCGTGGCGTGGGCTGAACTTGGCTGCACCAAAGTAGATAGCATTCAGAAGGAGTTTGGAGAAGTAGGGCCCGCCACACGCCATGTCGCGCATAAAGGCTGGACGATAGGTCGCAAGAAAAGAGTGATGTTGTCGGTTCCAGTGTAAGGATAGCAGGTGCATGCCTAGCTCAGGCTCAACACCGTCAAAGTCGAGTTTCCCCTGGCGGAAGTTCACAGTCTCAAGTTGGCGTTGGCGCGCAGCTTCGGCAACAAGTCCTCTTTCAACCCATTCATCAGGCATCTCCGGATGCGCCTCAGAAGCGGGCTTTTCATGGGGACCTTCATCGAACAAGGTACTTGTCCGCCCATGATAGCTGGAAGAACCATTCGCAGTGATAACAATGCGCGACACACTCTGTGGCGTCGAGGAACCAGCTTGGGCAGGAGATTGAGTAGCAGGACTAGGCGCATCTACAGGCACAACCGACTCTGAAGCTCTTTCTCGTCGTGGCGTCTTACGTGGACGGCTCGATGCTTGATGGGCATCGTCTATGGGCTCATAATGGCAGGTTACCCCATGCGTTTTGCAACTCGCGCATACAGGTTTCTCCGCACTGCACTTGATCTGTGGTCTTCAGTATCGCGCTCCACGTTCCATTAAGCGCGTGCAGACGAACCTTTCTCCGACGGCAGAAGGTACAGGCCTCGGCTGCCCTTTTGCGTGGACGGCCCGTCTTAGTACCGTTGCCGCCCGTATCGACAGTGCTCATCGCGATGGCCGTCCAAATAAAGTAGTTTACGGGTACCTGTGGGTATAACTCAAAAACAAGACAGCGTGTTTGCTGCCAATGGGGAGTGGACGGGAGAAGAAAAGTTGCCGCGGGTATGAAGAGACTGGGGGCAAAGCAGGTTCCGCGGGAACGCATTAATTCAAATCCGGCAATCCGGGATTTGGTCGCCCGACCGTGAGTCTGGACCTCATGACGATCTATACTTAGCAAAATCACAGCAGTATACAAACATTCAATGTTTTACTTAGTGTACGAGTAACATGTCATTCAAGAAAACTCACATATCCAATATTGAAGTAATACGAAGTACATTGCGTTTTCCAAGTCCGATAGAAATATCTTACTTGGCATCATACAAAAAGATAAAGCCAAGTTTTCCCTATAACACAATAGGCCCCCCCTCCCAAACATCAACGCCAATGCACCCAATCCACCAAGAAAAGCCGTAGTTTAACGTTGCAAGCAGCAGAAGGGAAAGTCATACGAAAAGAAAGGGTATTCAGCCAACGCCTGCCAGATGAGAACAAAGCCCTCATTTACCCCTAGTCTTCCCAAGAAAGTTAATCTCTTTTGTTTGTTCTCCCTACGCAGAGACAGAAACTTCAGATGGCCCTTGGAAAATGGCCTCAGCAGGGGCATCAGAGTCTCCTGCAGGCGCAGCTTGGGCTTGGGAAGCCAGTTCGCCACTTGCACCAGTCTCAGCCCATTCACCCCAGAGACCACGCTTGGCACGAATACGTAGGGGAGCACCAAGGTTGTTGGCTGGTTGTTCGACCTTGATGGCGTCCTTGGTTGCCAGGACGAGCATTTCAAAGAACATCTTGGTGGCGTCGGTCCGTGATGTCCTGGTTTCTGGGAAAATGTCTTGGAAGATGATGCTGCTTTTTTGTCGAACTGATTCGCTCTCCTCAGCTTCGGGCCCAAATTGCTCTCGTAAGAAGTGAACGGCGTGTTTTGTGCCTAGTGATACAGGGCCACCTTCGGCGGGATGGATAAGAGGTGCGGTTGTGTCGTCAAAGTTGTCTGGGACTGGGGAAAAGACATCCTCTTCCTCTTCACCGATCTGCTGGAAATCTGGTTCATCGGGGAGTTGGATAATGTCCTCAGATCCTCCTAGCATTGTGTTGTCACCGCCAATACCAATATCACCACCACCTAGAGTTGGCTCATCTTGGTCAAATTCTAGCTGTAGTTGTGGCGTCTTCTCTCTTTCACCTGCTGTTGCTTCGTCGTCCTCGGCGTCCGCTCCGATGTTGACGCCATCCCGCTTGCGTTTCTGGCTTGGCCGGGAGATTACTTCCAAAGAAAGGATACCTCGCAGTTCGGGAGCCCAACCCTGACTTCGTCCATCACCAAGAATACTTGATACAAAGCCTCCAGACTTTTGCATGTTGAGCAAAGCCATAAGGAGGGGATCGCGTGGAAGGAAAGACGCAGGCTTGAGAATCTTTTCACGGTTGTTCTGTTGCTCCTTCAGTTGCTGGCTAGAAATCATTGTCTCGGCGTCGGCTCCAATGACCCTCCTGCGCTTGGCCCTGGCTTGGTGAATGGACTCCTCCTCTTCCTCCTGCTCTGGCTCAAAGGTGGTGGTTTGCTCGGCGATTTCCTGTTCAAGGCGAGTGGCCTCTTCCTCTCCCAGCTCGGAAAGTGGTGATTCCTCACGCTGGCGCATAGGCAGATCGCCTGCTATCGAACCTGCTGGGAGATCTGTTTCGTTCATTCCGCCCATGGTGATATCCATATCATCATCGAGGTTCAGCTCCGGGCCAGGGCCAAGTTCTGTAGGAGCATCTTCCCCAATATCTATGTTAAGGTCATCAGCGTCTAGCGTAAGACCCTTGTCTAGCGCAGTAAATTCATCGGATTGACGGCGTTCGAGGGGCGCGTTACGGCCTATCTCGATACTTGTGCCTTCGTCGAACGGGGCTGGGGGCTCCAAGTCGTCATCTTCTCCAATATCCAGGTTCAGGTCATCGTCGGGAAGCTCCATTGGTTCCATACGTGGGTGCTCAATGCTGCCAGAGAGAAACTGGCTATTATCCCAATCCGGTACAGTGGTGTTTCCAAGATCGAGGCTACCACTAAGTGGCTGTGAGAGAAGAAAAGAGGGATCTGGCATAGGAGCTAGCAGGTCCAGGTCGGTAATTTGATCCGGTAGAATCAAGTTGGTGGGGTTAGCAACATGAGTCTGCGCAGGAAGATCAATGTTTCCAGGGCGGAAAGCCTGCAGACGCGTTAGTCGTGGCAATGCCGGGTGGTTGGAACCAAGTTTACCATCTTGATCTTCCACAAAGCTTCATTGCAGTCATCCTGCAGGTAGTGGGCTTTCTTGTGGTAGATGCGCACTTCACCGAGAAGTAGCTGCGCGTTCAAACGCAACGCAAGTGGGCCGCCAGCAGCCACCTCTGGTCGAATAATGACCTCGCAACTCTCGGGGATCTTGTGCTGCAGCACTTGAGCTTTGGTGAGCTTCTTCTGCTGATTGGAGGCGAGCCAGACGTGCGCAAGCGCGCCTTGCTTGAAGAGAAGATCCTCGGGAAGAAACATTGCGGTCGCGGGATGGAGGAGCTCGTAGGTGGGGGTGAAGAAGAGCTGCGCGTCGGGTCGGTCGTCGTGTTTATGTCGACGCGTCGCAGGTCACGGGATGCGCACGCGGTAGAGACGCGCCAGTGACCTCAATAGTATGTGCCAAAAGTGCGCGCACACGTATGGATGGTAGTCAGGGCCAGAGAGGGTTGGGCGACGATGGTGTTGCGGATGCGCTCGGTGGTTGAATGATGATGATGAGGCTGGTAAGGGCTGGGATCAGGGCAGGGCGTGGCAGCCACGATCCCACAGCTCCCGCTTAGTCATGACTCTGAATCAGAAAACACCAAAAGCACCTTCACCTTTGATTCCAGAAACCCCCATTGACAGAGAGAGTAGCCTCATTATGTGATAAGCGCGCACACCCAACCGCCTCATTATATTGTTGCGGGGCTGATATTTTCTCGTTGCTGCCATCCAAGCTTGCAATAGGAAAGAATGGCGAGTCTCCAATTCCGGTTCATGATTGATCCGGCGCGGGTAGTCAAATGACAGTATGTTTAACAATATTCAGTCTTGGCTGTACATGCTGCAAAACGAATGAACCTCTGGTTGTCGCTTTTGCAATATTCCGATGAGGTTCTTGTGCGACCCGGCAGTTGCTTCATCAATACTCAGCCAATGTAGGGATATTGCATCAATGAACCCGATCGCGCCCTATTGGCCTTTACATTTAAATGTGACCAAGGGACCGGGACCTCCCAAGAGTTTTGACAATCTGCTCCGCTCGACTATCATGTTGGACCAGCTTGAGGAACGGTAGTTGGATATACATGCATCAGCAAAGTACTAATATACCTGCACCTACGAAGTCCACTTGATTGTACACAATTCCCAAACAAGCGCATTTGCTTGCATCTTTATCCAGTATGCTTTGGTACTCCTCTGTAGTTTTTGTGCTTCTTGTACAACATATCTCAGCCCAGGAAACGCCCTATGGGTCATCCGACTTTCTACGGTTTGGGTGTTCGCAGCTTGTGGTTGAGCGTACTGATCCGCTCGTCACCCCTGGGCTCAACCCATCACCGCATATGCACCAAGCAAGTCTACCTGTTGTTTCCGATACAAGAGGGCTAACTTGCATAGATTGTAGGAGGCAACAGTTTCAATGTCACAGTATAGCATCGCCAGCTGTTTCTTGATATACTTAAGAGGTTAACGTGATCAGATGGATCCTTCTTCCTTTGATCCGGCCGCGCAGTCGACATGCACTTCGTGCATTTACAAGTCAGCATAGTCATTCTAGAATCTTGAAGGTTCACTTACATAGTCATAGAGAAGATAGATCGAACTACTGGACCGCTTCCATTTACTTCAAGTCGCCAGAAAATGGTACATATCGTAAAGTACCACAGATGGCAAACGGCCGTCGAAACGGAACTCTCCTTGAACAGGATGGCGGCCTCACCATATACTACATGCGTCCATTTAGTGGTACGAACAAGAACACTACTGCGATGATACCTGTGAGTCTAGATTGGTTGTCGCGTCTGTAGTGCCTCCTCACTGATTTATAGGGCTTTCGCATGCTCGCTGGCGATCCCACCAACCGCAGCAAAGAGGGTACTTACCCAGGCATCTGTCATCGTTGTCTGCAGGTTGACGAGCGCATCATGGGTGGAGCCGGCGCGCCCTGTTCAGGTAATGACACTGCCAGTTTTCCCTCTACGCCATGTCCAGGGGGAATCCGTGCTACAGTGATCTTTCCTTCATGCTGGGATGGCGTTACTCTTGACTCGCCAGACCACAGATCGCATGTTGCGTATGCGCCCGGCTTTAATGGTCTCGCGGGCGACTTCTGTCCAAGCAGTCATCCAGTCCGGATCCCACAGGTCATGTATGAGATCATGTTCGACACGTCTGGGTTTGCAGATCCCAAATACTACCAAGATGGTAAACAGCCATTAGTGTATAGTTTTGGAGATGCGTAAGTCAAGAAACCCGCAATGAAATGCTGAGGATTGTGTTAATACGGATAGAACGGGGTATGGTGCGCATGGCGACTACTTGTTTGGCTGGGAGGGGAATGCGCTACAGAGGGGGATGAATGCTCTTGGCAATCAATGTGGGAGCGAGGACTGTACCTCTACATTCACAATCCAGGATGGCAGAGATGCAATTGGATGTACGAAGGCGCAACAGGCTGTCGAAGATACAGGGGCAGATGCATGGCTTGACGAGCTTCCTGGTGGAGTACAGATTACAGAATAGTGCATGGTGGTAGGATAACAGCGAGTGGGCCAATATGTGGTATGTACTGTACTGGATGTATGTACATAGACGGATGGGTAGAGTTAGAGAAACAGTCCCAATCTCCTTCACCCCAAACACCCCGTCTTGGCCACGGCAGCGATATGCGAGGCGCAAGCATGACATCACCCGCAAGCATCTGCGCCACGACGAGAGCATGTGTAGTAGCGTCGGACATGTACCTGCCAAGCACCAATGCCGGTGTGCACAGATTCCTTTCCCCTGTAGCGGATCGAGCATGTTTATCTATTGCGGGTTTGCGCTCCAAACCTAAGATCAGTTCTCTCTGTTTCAGCTCCCGATAAGGCCGTCGCACGGTGGTCGATGTGTTGCGTCCAACTGTTTATGGGGTGAAACGGGGAGGGCCAGGACCCTTGACCCCTGCACAAGGGTACCGTTGCTTTGACGTTCTAGTCGACCGTCTAATTCACCAGACGAACTGCGAGCCCCGAAAAGACAATCCAAACCCTCCCTCGCCGTCAACCTTGGTTCTTTTTTTCTACCTGCCAGCCGTCCTTACGTACACTGCTTAACCGCCACCTCAATGCAATAATCGGCCTCCTCCGCCATTTCTCCCACACTAATCGTCGACGGACAGGCCACGTTGGACCGCGGCGCAACAGTCGTCTCCTGGCCATGCCAACATGTCAAAAGCGTCGACGCCCTCACTGCCCCGCTACGATGCCTCGAACCCATATTCCAAGCCCTCCCGTCCTTCATCGCCAATGCTGCAACCACCAGAGCCCCATAAGCGCAGCCCAACACCCTCAGTACGTCATGCGCCTGGCTGCCATCGCGACCGGACACACGACTAACATGCACCCACACAGTCAGTAACAGCCACGTACTCGCTTTTGTCCGCACAAGAAACCGCGCAAAAGCTCTCCACCTCCGTCACACATGGCCTTTCTGCTGCAGACGCCTCGACACGCATACACCTCCATGGCCTTAACGAACTCCCGCACGAAGAGCCCGAGCCGCTGTGGCTGCGGTTCCTCAAGCAATTCAAGGAGACACTCATCCTTCTGTTGCTAGGATCTGCTGCTGTGTCATTTATCATGGGCAACTTGGAAGACGCGCTGAGCATAACTGTAGCAGTGACCATTGTCGTCACCGTAGGCTTCGTACAAGAGTACCGGTCGGAAAAGTCAATCGAGGCTCTCAACTCGCTCGTTCCGCATTCTGCACACATCATACGCGCTGGAGCTGAGCCATCACGGGGCGGCCGCACACCCAATGGCACAACCGACGGCATCGAACTGGACAATCTCAAGGATACTACGGCTTCGCTCTCCGCAGCTGAGAGGAAGTCCACGACAATCTCCGCGACATTGCTAGTACCAGGCGATTTGGTCTTATTTCACACGGGCGACCGCATACCTGCCGACATTCGCATCACACACGCTGCCGACCTTAGCATCGACGAGTCTAATCTCACGGGAGAGAACGAACCCGTCTCCAAGTCGCCTGACACTATTGCACCCCCAACAGGGGCCCAACGATCACCTTCGCCCTTTTACGCATCCGAAGCCACTGGTACTGTTGGTGCAGACATTAGGCTCAATGACCAGAAAAATATTGCTTTCATGGGTACTCTGGTTAGATCTGGGTATGGACAAGGAATTGTTATTGGTACTGGAGGCAATACGGAATTTGGCGCCATCTCGGCATCCTTGGGAGAAATTGAAAGCCCCAGGACTCCTCTGCAACTTTCTATGGACCGACTCGGAAAGGAGCTGAGTTACATGTCATTTGGTGTTATTGCATTTATCGGGTTGGTAGGATTGTGGCGGGGGTGGAAGTTTCTCGAGGTCTTTCAGATTGCTGTCTCGCTTGCTGTTGCTGCCATACCTGAAGGACTGCCAATTATCGTTACGGTCACGCTTGCTTTGGGTGTGCTAAGGATGTCCAAGCGCGACGCCATTGTCCGACGGCTGCCCAGTGTAGAGACATTGGCCTCGGTTAATGTCGTCTGTACTGACAAGACGGGTAAGTTATGCATATGGACAGTAATCTTGTACTCGCTAACCTCATGAAGGCACGCTGACAACTAACCACATGACTGTCACAAAAATATGGCATTTTGGCGAGGCTACTCCAACAGATGTGAAGCTCAAGCACGACTCTATGGATCTCGACTCCCCCACTCGTAACATCCTGCGGATCGGAAATATAGTCAACAATGCCCGTCTATTGAGCGACCACGCTGCATCAGCTTCCACAGCAGCAGTTCTTTCGTCCACCCTGGGCGATGATAGTGCCTCGGCCAAAAGTAGATGGGTCGGTCAGCCTACCGATGTCGCCCTCCTTGACCTAATTGATGCTTTTGGTGAAGACGACGTGCGGGAAAGGCTTGGTGAACGCAAGTTCGAAACCCCATTCAGCTCAGAGAGAAAGTGGATGGGCGTTGTCGTTGGCAGCAGTTCTGGTAGTCACACTCCCGGTTCCGAACACAGCTATATCAAGGGTGCATTGGAGAGGATTCTCGATCGCTGCGATACATACGTCACTGCACAGGGCAAAGAGGTAGCATTGGATCAAGCACACAAGCAGGAAGCAATCATGGCTGCGGAATCCATGGCTCAAGAGGGTCTACGAGTACTCGGCTTCGCAAGTGGTGTGTCCAAGGCGAAGAAGAAAAATATTAGTGGCACTGCCTCTCCAGCGCCGGCCGTACACTCTGCTCTTGGTGATGATGAGCACTATCGTGGTCTCACGTTTGCAGGACTTGTAGGCATGAACGATCCTCCACGCAAGGGTGTCGAAAGAGCCATCCGGCGTCTGATGGCTGGCAAGGTCAAGGTGATTATGATTACCGGTGATGCAGAGACTACCGCAGTTGCCATTGGAAAGAGTCTGGGGATGCCGATTACCGAAAACTCTGCGCTTGGACGCTCTGTCATCCGTGGAGATGAGGTAGACCAGATGAGTGAGGAAGAACTCGCCCAGGCCATGGCAACGACGTCAATCTTTGCACGCACGAGTCCGGACCACAAGATGAAGATTGTTCGAGCGCTCCAGTCGCGAGGCGATGTCGTTGCAATGACTGGCGATGGAGTCAATGACGCACCAGCACTTAAGAAAGCCGACATTGGCATCTCGATGGGCAGACTGGGAACAGACGTTGCCAAAGAAGCCGCAGACATGATCCTAACCGACGACAACTTTGCCACAATTCTCAACGCCATCGAAGAGGGAAAGGGTATCTTCTACAACATCCAAAACTTCCTTACCTTTCAACTTAGTACCAGTGTGGCAGCACTGAGCCTGGTACTCTTGAGTACTTTTCTCGGTTTCCAGAATCCGCTCAATGCCATGCAGATTCTGTGGATCAGTAAGTTATTATCCATGTATATTCAAGACAACGAAGGCTAATCATTACCCCC